CAGACGTGGGTGGAGAGAGATAGAACGAAGCTAAACTACTTCTGAAGTTCTCTCTCTCTCTTTCTCTGATATAATAGTAATATCAAGTTTGACGCTCGAGCTGCACTTGCGGTGTACACGAAGTATTATCGCACGCCGCGCTCGCGTAAGAGTATAATCAAAACTCGTGGCCCCACCACCACTCTCCATCCTTTATATCCACCTACATGTATGAAAGCTTGAATGTTTTGTCGATAGCAAAGAAGAATTTGATAGCGCGCGGGAGGTTAAAAAATAAAAATATAATCCCCTTTTTCCCTTATAGTATCTAGATACTGCATGCGCACGAGCGAGCGAGCGCAGCACGTTTGTTATTATCGGCGAAAGCTTCGTTGCGAGACCTTTTTTTTTTTTTAACTTTTTTTACTTTAGTCGTGTGCATACATGCTCATGCCTTATCCACCCAGCAGTGGTGGCGCAGCAGCACGGCACGGCATGGCATGGCACACAGCGTCGTGCCCGTGAATTTCGTAAAATCTATTGGCTCGATGTGTGCGCTGCTCGGCGCGGCGCGCCAGCGGCGGTGGCGGAGTTATTACGTTGCCGAGAGCTCGCTCGCTCGCGCGCACACGTTGTCAAAAGCTCCTATTTTCATTTTACGTGTGTGCCATATACCAGGCGGGGGAGAGAGAGAACACAAGAGAGAAAGAGAGAGAGAGAGAGAGAGAGAGAGAGACAGAGAGAGAGAGACAGAGAGAGAGAGACAGAGACAGAGGCAGAATTCGCAGAGAGAGGATCGATTCACGCAAGGTTTCGTGCGCATTTTTTGGCCGAAATATCGCGTGCGCAGTTAGTCGCAGAGAGAACGAGTTATTCCGTTGATACACAAAACCTATCGATTTTGTGTTATGATTTATTTGATAAAATTTAATTAGAATCCTATTTCTCGATATCGCGTGCATTTATTCCCGTCCGCGGTCCTTTCACAAAACTGGGTGCGTGTAATGCGATTGTTGCAAATCCGCTTGTGCGTGTTTAAATGTCGAGTGGAAGCAGGAGGAGGAGGAGGTCGATTTCTATAGCAATTCAATCATCATTATCAGAGAGACATCGATTGGATCGTATTTCAACGCGGTGCTACTTTGGTGACAGCGAGTTTCGCGCGCTGTAAATTCATTTTCGGGGGAGGGATATCGTTTACATTGCTCGATGAAATCCATAAGCTTTGACGACGACGATCGTCGAGCATTGATACATTTACTGTTCGCGGGTATGTACGACAAGCGTGTCAACGAGCTTCTGCAGCTGCTGTAATAACGTGTATAAGCGTTACTTGCGGGGAATGTTGCTCGTCAAGCAATACGTCAATTGCAAATGTATGTAAAATGAAAATCTATTGTTGTGATAATTGCAAAAAATTATAATGAATATTTGAATTTATAAATCTTGACACGAATTCGAATTTCGAGAATTTCGAGAGCATTGCAGCTAACGAAGGCAAAGATCGATTCGGATTTCAAACGATCGATGCACACGATGTGACGTAGCATCTGTCGCAATACTCGATTCTAAATTACATATGAGTAGTCTAATCTTATAATTGTCTAATTTTCTGTTTTGTCAAGAGCTGCTTAGTCATTTATTCAGATCATCAAGAGTTTGGTCGTTTATATATTCAGATAAAAATTAGAAAGTATAAGACTAGCGAGGTAGGGGCGGGGTCTATGTAGCTAGCCGTATGCTACTATTGCTATTGCAGTGTACGTCATGCACATGCGCGGTCCCTACTACGCTCGAATTAAACTTTCTAACCCCGCTATAGTAGAATAGTTTCCTCCTCGTGTTTTTTTTTACTCTCTATATGGATCGCAGTGCATATGCATAGTGCAGTACGCGTCAAGACGACGCAGCGTGAACAGTGCAAGATCGCATCGAATACAGCACGTGATTCAAAGTAAAGAATATTTTATATTGCAAGTGACTTGTGTTGTGTGAGTGTATATTAAAATGGCTCTGGGCATAGAAATTTTGAAGAGATGGCGAAAAGAGATCAATTGGCAGATCGAAAAAGAGCGAGGTGAATTTTTCCGTCTACTTTATATTTCGATCCAAAATTGGGAGGGCCAGCTTCCAAATCTCCGAGATATTCTTCGGAAAGAAGAAATTGAGGATATTCTCACGCGTGCCGTGGCGCTTGAAAGACGAGAAGTTACCAGGTTTGTGGTTGATACCGGCTACAAAAACATTCCCGACGTTGATAAAGACGGCTGCCCTCTGTTGCGTCACACCACACCAGTGCATTATGCTGCTAGATGGAGGCGCTATAACTTACTCCATGATTTATTTGAAATATACGACAGGTTTGACGTGAATTACGTCGACCAACAAGGCATCACGCATTCAGAAGTTGCCTGCCAAAATGGCTTTTCATACGTCATCGAGAGATTCCTCAAACTCGAGCAACAGCCCAATTACTTCACACAAAAATCTATAGATTCGTTGCTGCACGAGAGTCTGAAAAGCATAAATGGAGGGACAGTTGAGTTGCTGCTGCGCAAAGGTGCTGACCCAAACTCGGCCAATGCAGACGGATCAACTCCTCTGCACATTTTAAGTAAACAAGCCAATTTCCAAGTGTTGGAGATATTTTTCAAAACCATCGACGACATGCAGCAGACAGTGCAAGTCAACGTCCACGACAAACAAGGTAACACACCATTGCATTTGGCATTACAAGCCGACCACAAGAAGATTACCGAGTATCTGCTGAGAAGAGGCGCGAATCCGAATTTGGCCAATGCAGAAGGATCGACACCTTTGCATACTATTTGTAATAATCGCGTCCCTCGTTATGACATGCTCAAGTACTTCCTGAAGATCAACGACGAAATTCGGTGGACTGTGCATGTCAACGCCCGGGATGACAAGGGCAACACACCGCTGCATTTGGTATTACGAGCCGATCGCAAGGAGATTACCGAATATCTGCTGGGAAGAGGCGCCAATCAGAATTTGGCCAATGCGAGAGGATTCACAGCGCTTCAATGTGCCGTGGCGAATCTTTCGTTGAAAACTGTCGATGTACTTCTCAAACATGGTACTGCTGATCTGTCCAGCTTCGTTTTCCCAACTGAGGATCACTTCTACGAAGTATTAGATCCGGACTCCATATCTAATTTTAAATCGAACCTGGCGTCCAGCGCCATGGAACTCGTCGAACTTCTGGAGAATGGAGGATACGAACTGGACCGAAGGGAAGCCTTGACGATCATGGCATTATTCGCTAAGTACGGCTTGTTCCAGAAGTCGGCGGATCTAGAAAAACGTCGGTACGACGACGAGAACTTCGCGAAACAAGCGAAAAAGATCAAGATAAATTCGAGTCAGTCGCTGTACGACCTGATTCAATTGCCCCCTCAGGAGGCGGCGAAAAAATTCGCTCGTTCGGATCTCTTAAAATTCGGCCACTCGAAAAAATTGCTTAAACTACGTAAAAGTCAAAGAGAGGCCTGTACTGCGCATCTGTGCGAGACACTGTCGAGGAGATTTTTCTTCAGATGGGCAGGGAACTCTTTATGGCAGCTGCTACACTACCGGATGCCGATTCTCTGCTGTGACATGATCAACGAGGTACTGATGAACGAAGATTTACGCAATATCTGTTTGGCCGCTGAAGGCCAAAGCTCGTCATAGCGATAATTATACTCATGTTTTTAAATGCGACAGATTTTCCATGTAATCATTTGAATAAATAAATTTAAAAAAAAAAGTGAGTTTCGATGTTCTTCTGATAAACACCCGATCGTTTGAAAAAAAAACTACGAGAGTTCACATTTGAAAAACTCCGAATTAATAAAAATAATTCGTTTCCGCGTTTGGTTCAAATTGCGACGGTTAATGCGCAAACCGTGTTCACCGTCGGTGCTTATAAAAAAGAGAAAGAAAGTACCAAAAAAAGGAGTTTTTTTCGCAACAAACTATTAAAGCCGAAACGCACGCCGGGGCAGCAGCAGCGCCCGAGTGACGGATAGTGGGACAAATTGTGCACGACGCTCTCTCTCTCTCTCTCTTTCTCTCTACGTAGCTGCTTTCCACGTGTATGAGGCGCACTACACCGCGCTGCTGTACACGCTACAATGGTAAAAAGGCAAAAATATAATTTTTCACAGGGCTCGCGCGTAACGTCAGCGTTGCCATGGTGGTGCTGCACTAATAGCACAGCGAGAGACTACTTCTCTACTATACAACGCAGCATCGCAGCAGTACTATATGTTAGTGCCTAGAGTACAGTCAGTGCACACCGCGAGCACCATACATACACGTACACACGCGAGGCAAAGGACTAGAGAGAGAGCGAGAGAGATGCGTTCTTTTATATACGAGTCTATCTGGCCTCTCTCTTGGCATTTGTGCACTCTCGAGGAAAAAAACCCCGCAGCAGCAGCAGCAGCAGTGGCGCAGCTAGCGAGAATACGCGCCTAAATGCCACTGGAATTTCAGCCGGACGTGTCGTGTGTACGTGAAGCGGAAGTGTTTTACGCCGAGGCATTCAGGTACTGCGCGCGCGATGCGCCGCGCACAAGCCCCCAGATATTCTCTTTCTTTCTCTTTCTTTCTTTCTCGCTCCGCCGACGTCACTCTCTTTCGTCGAAAATGAACATACACACGTACGAGCTGAGCGAAAAAGGAAGAAGCAAGAGGCGCAGCAGCAGCAGCCTCGTTGCCGCAAGCTCGCGCTGTATATCTTCATTCGCTTTATCGTTGTCTCTATCTGTTACGGCTTATCTTTGTCAAGTTTCGGTGGGGAGCTGGTTTGATTGCAGAGTACAGTGTATAACAGAGGGAGACAGAGAAAACCGCGTGCTATTGATTTCGAGGTAAAACACAACAATTCGACAATGCCTGCGACATGATCGTCCAATCGTATATAAAGGGGGAAATTCGTTAGAATGCTAAATGGGAATCAATTATTCAATGGAGAATTACGTTCATAAACGAAAACAAAGTTTTGAGGTACTCACCCTCGCCTTCGACGTGTGCTTCAACCCGATAGCTGGTTGACTTCGATTACTCTGCAAATGAAAAAGCACAAATTGTTACCTTTTATTCGAGTTCTTTCATCGTTCAAGAGAAATATAAATCTAGCTACTCTGCATTCTCCTTTTTTCATTTTCGACGTAAAAGAAAATTCAAAACTCATGGCAAACTAAATTTATAATATTTAATCAAAAGAATGAAAAGGCACATAAATGGGAAAAGCGTACTACAAGACGTGCAGGGCAGGGGTAAGAGGGCAAAAAAATGTTACATAAAAGTTTCATGCGGCTTAAGTAGCTGAAAGAAGAAAAAAAAATAAATAAAAAGGTATATATACACGCATTCGATTAAAAATCACGCAGAAAAAAAATAAAATCTGCGAAAGCTGCATGCTGAAAAAAGTAAAACGTCTTCGTCGCTCCCTGCTGCAGCAACGCACAAAGTAATCATTCGTCCGACGCAGCGGCTGCCGCTGTATGTATATATGTACCTCGTTATCGGGCGACTGCACGACCAGCGACGTCCTCGGTGGCTTCTCGGGTGGCACTTTTTTCATCGTCCCCGTAAAGTTCATCTGCTGCTGCATCGCCACACTGTCCAAATTGTCGACGCAGTTGGCCTGCATGCGCTGCGAGTAAGGCGCCCGCGCCCACACGTCAGCCCGATCGAATTGCGACAGGCTGGGCAGCGGCATCTGCGAGATGCTCGGTATGTGTATGGAATCGCTGAGATCCGAGTCGTCGTCCTGCTGCTGGAATTGCAGCGATCTACCCGGGGACAGACGCTCGCTCGTGATGTAGTAGCCCGACGGGTGGAGCTGGGGCGTGGCCCCTACCGCGGATGCAGGCACAGTCGGTATCAGGGCCTGATTGTGCAGCTGTCGCGAGGCGTTGATGCACTGATTCAGTATGATCTGATTCGTCTGCTCCTGCTCGCTCATGCGCTCGACGCAAGAGAACTCCGAGCTCTGCTTCTGGGCGAACTTCTCCGCGAGATGGAGATTGTGCAGTCGGCCCGCGTAGTCGCCCGCATGGGCCTGCATCTGGGCCACCTTTTCCATGATCTCGTTGTGATTCTGTATGCTCTGCAGCTTGGCCTGCAGGTCGTTCTGCTGGCGCTCGCACTGATTCAGTTTTTCCGCGATGAAGTTGATGTTGTGCTGCTGATGATTGTAGTACTGGCTGGAACTGGCGGACTTCTGCGACATCTGCGAGTCCGGGCGCTCCTGCAGGTGCTCGATGTGATTCAGTGAGTTCTCCTGGCTCTTGTGGTGGTGCTTCTTCTTGTGATGACTGTGAATGATGTGATCGCTCGGCTCCTGCGAGTGTTTCGTGGCTGGGCCGTCGTTGTAATCCGTCACGATGGTCATCGGTATCTTTTGCTCGTTGTGTTGACAGCACGAATTCGAGTGATGCTGCTGAGTGGTGACGTTCGAGGTACACGTCAAAGAGCCCGTGGTACCCAAATTCATGACTGAGCCCGTGAGAGGCTGCTGCTGATCCTCCAATTCCTTGCGATGATTCAATTCCATGCGCTTGGTCAGATCGGCGCTGACGTGGCGCAGATGCCTGCGCTGCTCCATCAGCGAGTTTTGATTTATGCTGGGTATCGGCTGAAAAGCCGACTGCGACATGATGTCTCCTTTGTCGCCCCGAGCGTAGTTTCTACCACTACCTTCGGGCCGCCTCTCCTCGGACTGACAACGAGTGCGAGGACTCGTCGTGTACATGGCCCGGTTCGAACCCGCTACCACTCGGCTCTCTATCTCCTGTCGCTGTCGTTGCTCGGCCCACAGCGCCAGCTCGGCTCGAGTCTTCTCGAACGACTGGGCGGCCTGTGGCATGTTGTTCGGACTCTTTTGATTGTTGCGCTCGTCGTGAGGCACCGTAAAAACTTTGGGCGATCGGCGAACGTCGTCGGCGGCCATCACCGTCATGGGCGATCTGCGATGGTCGTCGTAGTACTCCGATCTTCGATTCTCCTGCGGTATCGACATTCTCTGATTCTGGCTCAGACTGCTCCACTCCACCGATTTTCTCTCGCCCGAGACCAGTATGCTCTTGGGCATACCCGTGGGCAGATTCGGCATTGGAGACTTGCGCACGTCCTGCAGCTGCTTTCTCTGCTCAGCGGGAAGCAGCGGCTCGGTCGTGGTAATATTGGCTAGAGATTTGCGATGGTTCAACAGGGCAGCAGGGGAGGGCTCCTGCTGCTGGCCGGAACCGTCGCCAGGAAACGTGAAGGTTATCGTGTCGTTGCGCTTCTGGAAGTGACTGCTGATGTCACCGATTGACTTTCGGTGCTCCGGTTTGGACACGTACACGGTGCGCTGCTGCTCCACGTTGGCAGCAGTGGTGGTATCATTGCTACCTGCATCCTGCGAGGAAATATCCTTCTTTTCCACGTATAGTCCGTCCTGTCGCGTTCGCACCGGCGCTGGATTACCACCAACACCGCTGGATTCTTGCGTTACCGAACTTACGCTACAATCGTTCGTGCCATCATCGGCAGCACCTTTCGGCTTCTGATTAGCCGTGACATCGATACTGGAGCACTTGCGATGGCCACCACCGGTGTCGTGAGTTATTTTAGAATTGATACGAGGAGGAACCATGGGCTTGGGACCGCGAGGAGGCTTGTCGGACCTGTCCACCTGGGGTCCAACAGCGGAATTCTGCGCCACGTTTTGCGCTAGGGGCTGGCAGATCGGCTGACCCGAATACTCTTGCGACAACCTCTGTGGATTCGGCGAGTGTTGATTGCTCGACGGCTGTGCTTGTTGAGATTGTTGCTGCTGCAGTGCCTGGGTATACTGATTGTAGTGCATCTGAGGCGGGGCAAAACGCACGTAGCCCGAATTTAGCAGCGGTAATCCCCCCGCGTTCTTATTCGCGGAGAAGTAGGGCGCCGGTCCAGCCGGTTGCGGGGGCAACGTCTGCGGTGGTTGAGTGACGTAAGTCGCCTGTGGCGCTACCAACGACACGCTCTGTGGCCCACCATAAAGAGGATCCCTGTAGCTCCCTGTACCATCGCGAGAGACGTACATGGGATATTGACCCGACGACGGCCCCGACGCGTAATCCTGGGGAAAACCCGTAGCCGTGGGATGTATGGCGATGGGCTGTGTCAGCTGCATCCTGTCAAGCATCATGCCACCGTCGTGGTGATACTGCTGATGAGTGAGCACGACCGGTACCGAGGCCGGCCTGTCCTCCAAGTGGTTCTGGACGTGATTATTCTTGCTGCCATCCCCTTTCCCGCCGGGTTTCGGCTGGGGTGGTCGATTGCGTATCTCAAAGCCGTTCGACATATCTGCGGACTTCGCGTTATTCTTTTCACCGAGTATGTCAGCCGACGAGGCTCGGCCGTTCTGATGATGATTCTGCTGAGTTCCGCATGAATCATCGTCTTGATGGCCATTGGAGTCCTCGAAGCCGAAGCTGGAAGACGCGGTGCCGGGCTGCGACATCGTCCTGGCAGTCACCGACCTACCGCCAATGATGCCGAGAATACGCCCCAAGCCGCACACTGTGACGACTATTGGACGCACAGGTTTGATGATGATCCTGACGTTCGAGATAATGATGCGAGGCTAAAGCGCACCGAAGCATCGACGATTTAGGAGCTCTTTGGCGATGATTATTTTTATATTATTATTACTTGGCGACCCTGTCATTGTTGAGACGTCTCGATTTGACATCAGAAATTGACTATACGTAACAACGTGGAAAACTTAGTCTACGTGACAATAAAACGGGCACTACACAACCTCGTGTAAAACTCGGCTATAAAAAGGAGAGATACTAATTGCTATATAAAATTCATCTGTGCGTCAATTCAGACTTTCAATTCTCTTGGGGTTGATTAGCCGCTTTTGGCTGAATATCGACTTGATGCACGAATTTTTTGAAGGAGGGATTTTCCTCATGGAATCGTGCTGAACTTTCTTATTGGCAAACGGTAGTGGGTGGCGGTGCTGCTGCTGCTGCTGCCGGCGGAACGAGATCGCGTGTCAGCGTGCATGGCCTGTGTGTCACGAGTGCAGTCCGGTCCTGTGACTCGTCGAGTCCGACGACGACGACCATCCATAACTTTTCGGCGAGCTTTCGTTTGCTGCTGTTTCTTGTGCTGCTGCTGCCGGTGAAACTCTCATCGTTCGTTGTAGCCCCTCACCACCACCAGTCGGTCAACTTCATAGTCGTTGCTCCTGCATTGTCGTCGTTGTCACAGCCACAACCGCTGCTTCCTGTGCTCGTATTGCGTACGCGATCCATTTATGGCACACAATATATCGACGCCATGCTAAAAGCCTTATACTGTATTAAACGCCGGTATGCCTTTGCCTTTTGTATTATGTGTGTGTATACGCGCGCGTGCTCATATGCTCTTCTGCTGTCGCTGTGACTCTGCAGGTGTTTTATTGAAGCTCTGCTGGCCCAGCAGTCAGTAGTACCTGACTGCAAGCTCCACAGCTTTCAATTAAAGCGAATCGCATTCTACAGCTTGTCGCGCTCGAACAGGTTTATCTGCTGAAACAAACGAATAGTGGAATTTAATACGCCATGGGCTATGTATGTATGTAGTATGGGAATGCATTTAAACGTGTGTACGACATCGACGACGAAAAAGAGCCCCAGCGCTGTGCGTTGTGTATCGCACGTTTGTACACATACGTGAGAACCAAACACGTACACGTACACGCTCCGATAATAATAAACGATGGCCAACCTGTAAGTTTCGGGAAAACGGCTTTTATCGTTACGCCGTAAACGTGATTTCAGGCGCTTTGCTCGCTAGTGCAATATAGCTCGAACGACGTATACGAGCAGCAGCAGACCTTAAACGTCGGAAATCGTAAGGGCGCGCGTATACGAGCTGCGCTTGCTAGCTAGCTTGCGAGCTAGCTAGAGCCATGGTATATCATTATTACAAGAGGTCTATTTTCCATTCGTGTCCTGCCCGTGTAGTTTCTCTCTCGTGCTGCTCTGGCATCGAGAACTTTTAGTTTATGCCTAAGGTAAAGTTTCTCGCGCTCGTTAGTAACTCGTAGCAGCTATCTTTTTAATTAATTGACTTGGCGGATTAATATATACGCCGCCCTTCTATACACTATACTTGGGTTATATAGTAACTGCGACTGCAGCAGAAGGAAAATAAACGTTTCGCTCGTTGACAATGGAGCCACATGGATCGCGTTTTAGAGCTCGACGTAGTTGCTATATTAGACGCGCGTATACGCTGTACGAGCGCAGCGCACTGCACTGCACCGGAGCAAGCCGTAACTTGTCATCGGCCCGGAACGGATTTATAATTCAATAGTGCGCTCGCACGCGCGCGCCCTCGGAAAGTACTACGGTCTCTCTCGAAGTGTATTTTCGCTCTCGAGCAGCAGCAGCACGACGACGACGTAAATCTATAATTAAAATTTCAAAGGTTCGCTCTGGCGTAATAAACGAAAGCCCGAAGAGAGAGAGAGAGAGAAAGCGCGGAGGAGCTTATCAACTACACTATCTCCTATAATACAAAGCAATCGATTCAGCAGCGTGCAAGGCCTGAAGCTGGCAGCGAATGAAAAGGTATATATACATTCTTGATAAAAAAAAACTTTGAGTCCTTCTCCGATTCCGTTGGAAATATACGTACAGTGAGCGTATATACGAGATAGACACATAAATATAATAAATTACAACATCGAGTGCTTCATATATGTCCCGCGCGCGTGGAATTGCGACAGACAAGAGAGCGCGTCTATATAGGATTATATATAGAGCGCAGTCGTTCGAACTCTCGTTGCGCGCGAATAAGAGAAAGAGAAAGAGCGAGAGAGAAAAAACACGAATTGCGTCAATAAAATATTTCGTGTAATTACTTCAAATCTTTTAACCCACATACACGAGAGATACTTGCGCGTTTGAAAAAAATAGAGAGCGAAGCTTGCAGAGGAAAAAAAGAGCATCACCGAGATAACACCGAGTAACTTTAACTGCTAAAAGAAAGTATATTACATAGTGGAGATAGTTGATGTATCCTCGAGGCGAATCGATACGTCTTGCTGCACACTGTTGTTTTACAAAATTGCACCCACGCGCGCGTAAGGCAGAAAGATTAAATAGCAGTTCGATCGAGGCGATGAGTATTAAATCATCGTTTTTCCAAAAGATCAACCCCGTTTCACGACGTCGAAGGTGTGTAAGTAACTCAACGTCGCGGATGGTTTCCCTGTGTGGCGAATTCCCGGGCTTCGTCTTTTTTTTCTGCTGCTCTCTATACTCGATCGAGAATGCACAGAGAGAGAGAGAGAGAGAGAGAGAGAGAGAGAGAGAGAGAGAGAGAGAGAGTTCAAAGATACGTAAGCGCGAGTTTCGGCGCTCATTGCTCATTGGTCACGTACGTTTGCGTAACTCACTCGCGCGCGTCACCTTCTTCGGCACTCGCGACGATTAATGGGCAAAGTTCGGGAGCTTCTTTTGCGCGGTTCCGTTTTGCGTAGACGCGCTTGATTAGAGCGCTATTGAATTTTGGTATGGATTTCAAGTTTGAATCGTGCAGATTTTTGGGATGCAACGGGTCATCACCTCGGCACGTCTCGGATATAAGCGTAATGAATTCTCGCGTGGGGTTTATCGTGCACTATTTTACAACATTTTTTTATGTCTTGGCTTAATGATGATACATGCGTGCATAATTTATTAGTCATTTTGCTTGATATTTTTATGCGCGTATCGCGTTGCTCTGCCCGATGGCACATGTCTGAACTTTGCACTCTTCTCAACGCGCGGCCAACAAACATCGTTTAGGAAAATTTGTTCCCCAAAAAAGTGATGGAATATTTTAAATTTAAAAAATGCTCCCGAGCTAGAGCTTTGTGAAAAAAAGCTTCAAACATTTTCTCAAATAAATTGCATAGTCTAAAAACTCGTGTTTTTTTGGTAGGAAACGATGTAGGTCAAAAGTCTGGGCCGGCGTATATGTATACGGAAGAAAAAAAAATTCCTCGCTACACTTTGACCCTTTGCGAAAATTAACATTTGATTTTAATTCGCACGCGCGACGAGGACCGTATACCGGTTTCAAAAACGTCGAAAGCCAACTCTCTATATGTGCGCACAGTGGCAATTGAAAACGCGGCGACGGCAGTCAAATGCTCGGCCCCGAAACTTCGTCCCGAGAATGGTTAGTCGAGCCGCGACAGAGAGTATATTTTTTTTCAAACACAGCGCGTTACGATTGCTTACCATGCGTATATTTTTCCCCGGCTTTAAGCTTATACACGTTGCATAAAATACGCACTCGAGAAACGTATTTTTTCAAATATATTATACATTAGCTTCATTGAAAAGAGCACCGAGGATAATATAACTTTTTTCTTTATCTCCTACCGTAGTCGTCTCTCGCGCGTCTTCATCTGTCGCTCGGCCGCGTCATACAGTCAATCTCTCTCTCTCTCTCATGTAGCGCGCGCAGCTGAAAAACACGAAAAGTGTTCCATCAAGACCGCGGCGCGCAAGCGAGAGTACGAGTTCGTAATATCCGTTCATCACGCACAGCTGAGCTTGAAGACAAGAAAGATAGGAAATAAACGAAGAACTAACTACACCGAGTCAAGATCTGCGAGCAAAAAGAGGAGAGAAAACGAGGAGGAAGAGAAACAGGAGAGAGAAAGAGAATAAGATAACAATTTTACTCGCTATTGCCACTCCTTTGCGCTCAGTAAAGGGGCATATAGCCGCATTTTTCTTCATTCGTCTCTCTCTCCTTCATCTTCTCCACCCACCCCCCGTTTCTTTCGCTTTGTTTACAGTTTTCCACTTCTATTACACGTACTAACATGCTTTGCTCTTTACCATGAACCATGTTCATTCCTTTTCCACCCATCTTATTTCATTTCTCGTTCGCTTTCTCTCACTCCATACCGCGCGCGATAAAATAGCTCCGAGCTTTTGGCTCGCGCGCACATATATACTGCCGCTGCTGCTTTTGCCCTTTGTGCTGTGTTTGACGAAGACCAGTGGAGCCGCCGCTTCGCGGCACACATATGAGAATATTTCGCGCATTACTTACTTTTCTCTCTGACTTTTTACAGTATCAATCCATTCTTACGCCCGTGCCACGTACATCTGTTAGCGGTTTGATATATACAGAGGAAAAAGAAGTCGACGGCAGAATGTGGGAGGTGGTGGTGAACATAGGGAAATAAATAAAAAGCAGTACACGTGCTGCACAACACGCTATACTACTACTGCGGCTTCAACCGAAGATTTAGGAGATCCATTAAAGCTTATACCTACTTTGCAGGAAATTTTTTTATTTTATTTTCAATTCGCATTTTTTGGTCAAAATTATTAAAATTTCAACCATGGCGAAGGTATTAATTACACCTTGAATTATGAAATTTTTTTTATAAAATATGCGGCAATGATAAAAGTTGAAAACTAATTAATGAACTCCGAACAGATGATAAAGGATGGT